AAGAGAAACAAAAAAACGAAACGGAAAGAAAAAAGAAAAAAGGAAAGAAACAAAAAACCAAAACCTATTTTTTTTTTAATTTTTTTTTTTTGGGTAACTTTATAATTTTCCGCTCTTTTCTGGCTGGGTTTTCCTGTCGGTTTTGGTTTCCACTTCTCGGAGCAGCAGCAGCAGGCGAGACGAGATAGCCATCGCCAGCGCCGCTCGCTCTCGGAGGAGGGGAAACAGCAGCGGGAAAGCCCAGCTGGGAGGGAGGCGGAGGCGAAGGAGACCCGCTCTGCTCTGAGACCCGCTCCGCTCTGCTCCGTCCGCGCCAGCGCCCGGCCGGCCCGGCCCCGGCTCCGGCAGCGCTCGGCGGCTCCAGTGCCCGGCGGCTGAGCCTCGCTCTGTTCCACCAGCACCGCTCTCCGGTGACACGGAGCCAACCCAGCAGGGAGGCCGGGAACACACACACCACACACACACCTTTTCTACAGTATTTTGGGTGCCTACCACACGGAAACCTTGAAGAGAGCAGATCTTAGAAGCCGCTGTTACCTCTTGTTTACAGTTTATATATATATGATAGATATGAGATATAGATATATATATATATAAAAGGTACTGTTACTACTGTACAACCTGACTTCATAATGGTGCTTTACACAGCGGGGTGAGTCGAGACATCAGCTTCCACGTTGCCTTACGTGCCGGGCCTTTCCGAGCGAGCGGCAGGGCCGGGGCGGCCGGGCGGAAGCGTCTCCATCCCGAGTCATGCAATAACCTTTTTCTGTCCCCCACGGAAGCGCCTCGGCGGTGCCCCCCCTGCCCCGCTGGCACCACCCCACAGCGTACTGGTGCTCTTCTGCGTACGCGGCGTCCGGCAGAGCCGGGTCCGGCCGTCCCCTGGCGGCACTGGACGGGGGTCCCGCTCCCCCCGGCCGTGCCCCTCGCCGCGGGCGCTGCCCGCCGGGGCGGCGCGGGGCACGGTGCCGCGGACGGGCTCTGGCCGAGGGCGGTGGCAGGGACGCCAGCGGGGCAGGGAGGATGGAGCGGTGCCGGAGCGCGGCCGGGGCGTTTCTGGCATGGCACGGCACGGGGATGGATGGCTGCGGGTCCCGGACCCTGGTGCTACATCCGYGGGGCCGGGCTGGCGGCAGGAGGGCGATGCTCCGGTGAGCCGGGACGGGACACCCCCGTCACCGCGGCGTCACCACGGCCACCGGGCCATCGCTCCCCTGGCCACGCGCGGTTCGGAGCGAGCGCATGTCCCCGTGCCCCGCTGGGGGTGATGGGTGCCCGCGGGTGTCGGTGGCGGTGACAGTGACGGTGACGGTGCCCGCGGGTGGCAGTGGCGGTGTTGGTGTCGGTGACGGTGCAGGAGCCACGGTGCGAGCGGCGCGCGGGCAGGTGCTGGCAGTGCGGTGCGGTGCGTGGATGGTGCTACCGGTGCGGGGTCCRGCCCGGTGTGGCCCCCGGGCCACCCCGGTGGGGCAGGGACTGGTGCTAGGGCGCGGGGAGGCTCCCGGAGGGTCTCAGCCCGTCGCTATCTCTTCTCTAACTGTGAAAGGTGCGGGTTCCGGGGGCCGCGCTCGCTGCGGGGTGCTGGCTAATGGCAGCGAGCCGCGGCCCGGGCGCTCGGCGGTGCTGGGACCGACGGCGGCGGCGGGGCCCCCCCAGCTCCCCTCCCTCCTGGTGCTACCGGGGGCTCGGGGCCCCTCTGCGGGTGCGGGGGGCACGGGGAGCCGGGCCGGTGCGGGCGGCCGCGGTGGCTTTGCCGGGGTGAAGGTGGCGAGGCGGGGTGGCTCCCATCCCGCTCTGTCCCGGGGCCGGATGGCACGGGATGGCACGGGATGGCCACGCCAGGCACAGGTCCTGCCTGCTTGCTGTGAGCCCGCACGGCCACGTGGCCCTGGGCATCCCGTGTGGGGCACGGTGGGCACTGTGGGTCCCGCAGCATCATTTGTGGGTCCCGTGTGGCCCCGCGGCACTGGGTGCTGATCCTGCATGGCCTTGAGGTGCTGGGTGCTGGTCCTGCACGGCCCTGCAACGTCGTTGGCAGGTCCTGCACGGCCCTGCGGCACTGGGTGCTGACCCTGCGTGGTCCTGCAGTTCTGGGTGCTGGTCCTACACAACCCCGTGGCTCTGGGTGCTGACCCTACACGGCCCCCGCAGCTCCAGGTGCTGCTGCTGCCCCGTCCCGTGGCGGCGTCAGCAGATTCTGCACGGCCACGTGCTGCGTTTGGGGGGTCCCAGCAGACCCCCGGGGCCGCACCGGCCCGGCCCAGCCCTGCAACGCTTTTTGGGACCTTCCTGCTGTCCCTTATGGGGTCAGTCCCAGCGGGCGCCGTGGTTCGGGGCTGGCCCGGTGGGTGCTGGCACAGCCCAGGCRGTGCCGCAGCCGCTGCCAGCGGGAAGCAAATTCCTGCTGGGAACGGGTGCYGGCGGCAGTGGGGACTGTGGGGACGCCTGGGGCAAGAGTTCAGTTTTTAACGTACCCGACTCATGTCTTTTTTTAAAAACGACCAGACGAAATTCTGTTGCACAGCCCTAGATGAAAACTCAAAACAACACAGAAAGGCCTAAATTCCTTAAGATCCGCCGAGGGAGTGGGGACAAACACGGTGCTAAAACATTTTATTAAAAATATATATTGTTAAATTAAGTCTGCTGTCTGGACAATGACTGTTTTGTTTCTCGTAGTGGAGTTTCAAAGAGCACTATTATTTTACTCTTATATATTATTATTAAAAAAAAAAAACAAAAAAGAAAAAGGCATTTTAACTTTGTACTTGAAAACTAAACGAGAGATTTCATGTGTTTTAGCCTAGACATTGAAGTAGCTGACGCTTAACTATTTGTGGGAATCATGTACTCATCAACCCCAGGAATACGCGCGTAGAGCTGGTACCCTCCTTCCTCCCTTTGATTTGGCTCCGCCGCCACATTCCCGGCGCCGCTGCGGCCGCCCCGCCTGCCCTCCCCTCCCTTTTTTTCCCCACCCCGAGCCCAAACCCCCTGGTTTATTTTCTACTTCTCTCTCGGTTCGTTGCCCCTGTTTTTTTGTTGGTTTGTTTTTTTAGGGTCGCTTCTCTATTTATTGCCGCTGAACTGTGCATTTCACGGCCGGAGGTGCCGCGGGCGCCCGGCGCTGTTGTATCTGTGTGAGTATTGCTCGTGACATAGCTGTTCTGAACTAATAAAGGTCAATGCGTGCAGCAGATGTAGAAAGTCTGTCCGTCCCGCTTCCATCCCATCCTCTTTTTCTTTTTCTTTGGTGCCCAGAAGAGTATAATACAGACGAGCTCCTTTCTAATGTACTTGTGCTGGAGAACACTTGAATAAATGTCCTGTTTTGTGAAAAAAAAAAAAAARAAAAAAAGAGGAAAAAAAAAAAGAGAAAAAAAAAAAAATTCCCTGTGGTTGCGTGGTCTGTGGATGAGGTGATGGTGGGGTCGTGGTGATGGTGGAGCCCTGGCGTGTGGTGGGACTGGTGATTTTTGGGGTCCTGGGGGGCAGTGGGGTCCCAGTGGGTGAGGGGGACCCCAATG